TGTGAACATACATTTACAGATTTAACCTGTCATCAAGCAATGTCTCTTGTACACATGCCTGTGTGTCATTTAATTCTTCATGAACCCCAGACAAGGTATAAGACACTGGACATGTAATAGTAGAAAAGCAAAAGATAGATAGATGGCAACAATTATAAAACAAACAAAATAAACCAGTTTCATGAAGGAAATATTTGAGAGATTTGATATCATTTTTATAATGTGGCTGTGGCTGACAATCTCCTTTTCCTATCCAATAGCCATTGTCTTTCTTTTTTCTCCAGCTAATATTACCTTTGATCTCAAGATATCCCTTGATCTCAGAGAAGATAGAACTAGCTCTCTAATTTAGTGTTAAAAAAATAATTCATGATGAATTTTAAACAGTCTCTTTCCTTCGGCCAATAATTGTCTTAAAGATGTTCACATGACCCAGTTCTAGCCAATGAGATGTTTGTGGAAGGCAGCTTGAGAAGAGAAATCAAATATCTGTTTGAATGAAGCCTGAAGTTAGCAAAGAGAAAATGATTTCTGCTTTCTGAGTCTGCCTGCCTTTATGTGGATGCAATAGCTGCAGGTGCAACGATTTTGTGACCCAAAGGGAAAAGTCAAAAGAATCGCAGATTTCAACTCTGATATCAAGCAGATGAACTAATGCCACCAACCTCCTACTCCTGAACTTCATTATATGATAAAAATGAATCACTATTTAAGCTACCATATTCAGATTTCCTGATACAAGTAGTGAAACTCATTCCTAACAGCTATGACAGTATAGAAACAGTCTTCCCAGGATAATTATAATTGGAGTGAGTGACACAAACAGAAAAGCTTCTGTTCTATTTTTCATTTCAGCTGAGGACACTGGGCCTCTATTGTATTAACACTGTCTGGTAAGATCAGGACGACAAAAACTGGGGTTTTTATAATCTCTTATTAATATGGATACTTTCAAACACAAGCTCAAGAACTTGCCCTTGACTCTATGAACAAAATTGTGCCATCTGGGTGGTAATGAAGCAAAGTATGTTTTTTACAAAACAAAATATGTGAGGTTTTTTTCTGTTCCTTCATACCTGAGAAGTTACTTTTTCATCCACAACACTAATCTGTAACAAAGCTGTGTGGTAAAAGATAGCATTATTTGAATATACTATCAGTCTACAACTAACCAGAGATGACAATTACAAATAACACTGTGTCCCAGAGTTTCCAAGAAACCTGACACACACAGTTCTTGGGTATGTTGAAACACTTCCACGAAAAGTAAAGAAATTAAAAAAAAAATTGTTTACAAGTCTTCCATTAAAATGTGTTTCTGGAAAAATGACTTTCATGATGTGTTTTGGTACATATCACTCAGAAATCACTGGTCTCTATCTTCACACCTCTAATTGTTTTCACTGTCCAGTTACAGCTTTTCAGGATTAAGACCTTCTAGCTGGGATAACCACGTGACTGGCTATTTGAGATGTGAAGAAAAGTTAATGTGTATAAGGCTGTGTGCCTAAGAAAACAGACCTCCACAACAAGATTCCAATTATCTGGTATCTTTTAGGTTGATGCAAAGCACCAGGTTGGACCTATTTTCTTTTGTTCCTTTCTCCCAGTTCCTTCCCTTCTTTCTTTCTGCTTTATCTCTCACACTCCTTACCTTACACATCTTTTCTGGGTTTAGGGAGTTAGGAATATTATTATTATTACTTTGAGACAGAGTCACCCAGGCTGGTGTGCAATGGCATGATCACAGCTCTCTGCAACCTCTGCCTCCGAGGTTAAAGCCATTCTCCTGCTTCAGCCTCCCGAGCAGCTGGGATTACGGACTGTGCCAGCACGTCTGGCCAATTTTTTGTATCTTTAGTAGAGACGGCGTTTCATCACGTTGGTCAGGCTGATCTCGAACTCCTGACCTCATGATCTGCCCACCTCGGCCTTCCAAAGAAGTCCTGGGATTATAGGCGTGAACTACCACACCTAGCCGGGAGTATTATTTTAGACAGAAAAACATGCCCTTCTTTTGGGATTCAAGTACTAGAAGATGATAGTACAAAATGTAAGAGGAATTTATCATATATTATTTAATGTCTTTCCTAAACTCTATGGCAACATTTCAAACCAATTACTGATCCACATATTTATTGGCCATAGATAATACTGAGTGATCATAAAACTCAAATAAAATGATAGGTATTAGAAAAATAACACAATACACATGGACATGTGGTTCATGTGAAAGAAAATGTGTCTACCTTTGTCAATTCAAGTACATAACAGATTTGACATGCTAAGCAATATGAGGTCTTTATTCAATTCTATAGGTGGGCTCACACACATAAATATGTAATGAGTAACAGTCAAATAATAATTTGATCCAAACTGTAAGCTCTATAAAGGGAGAACTCACATTTTCTGGTTTAACACAATACCTCCAATACATATCACAGTCTCTAATACATAGCATGTGCTAATGTTCAATAATTACTAATTAAAAGATATAAGTATGACATTATTATCTCATTTTCATGAGTTACACAGACACAGATTGATCATTTATATTCTAGAAATGATACTCAAGTTATTTCAACAGGAAAAGTCAACCACAAACTATAGTAATATCTCCTTCAAAGAGTTTCAATAATTTCAATTACATTTTCAGGTGTCAGGGTAACATAAGGGATGAGACAATTCAGATCCTTTGGTTGAGAAGGTTTCCTTTTACATTACAAGAGTTTGTCATACTATTACAATAATGAAAGTGTTCACTTTCATAATTTAAGTTTTTCACGTAAAAAATTATAAGACTATAGCTCAAGATGTAACTCAACTACATCAAAAGTGCATGGTGACAAGATACAGGAATGAAGAACTTCTTGAGAACAGAGACATCTTAACTGTCCAACAGGTTTTGGCAGGTATTATTTAAAAAATAGATTTTTTTAAGTTGTTATAACTCTACAAAAGAGAAAGGAAAGTTGAAGCAGTAGCTATCAACAGAGGCAACTCTCACTCCTGCAACGCAAGTAAGAGGTGCTAATCAGAGAAATAAAGTATGATTGTGGAGATGGAACAAGAAGTGGAAATAAGGTCCCCTAACAATGGGCAAGTATATAATAAAGTGAATGCAGATGGTTCCACTCCTCTTACTTAATCAAAAGGCTGTGCAAAGTCACTGGAGCCAGCATAAAGTCATGTGTTAGAACAACAGCTGATCTGTATTAGAGAAGATTAACTCACAGTGCCATGGCGGAGGTCTCAGGATTATTTTATGTACTTCCATTGCCTTACAAGCCGTCAGCACAATTATTGCCCTCCGATCTGAATGACTGATCTGTAACCACAGCTAAACAGCACGCTGCTTAGGGGCCTAGGAGCTTCATGAAGATGAATTTCCATACCATCAAAGTACTTTTAATGGGCTCCCTGATCCAGCCACAAGGCCTGCTTTACAAGTATACAGAACTCAGGATGAAGGCTTCCTGTCCAAAAGGATTTGGTCGGTTGTCACTTGACAATTCCCAGCCAGCACTGGGGAAGAGAGGGGGGAGATAGGTAGAGTTGTATCTGCTTTGGAGGATTAAAAAAAAAAAAGGGTACAGATGCTTGCTGAATGCAACCAACTGCTGTATCCACAGCTGAATTCAATGCGCTTAACAAATAACGGCAATTTAGCTATGCTTGCGAGGAATAGCTTGAGTCACTTTGCATTAGCATCTGGCTGAGTGTTAAACTCATTTCTACATGGGGAGCGGAGAAAAGGAATTTCTGTTTAAGCATCCTTTCAAGAATGTTTAAATATTTGAATATAAATTCCTTTATGCTTGCTATCATTCCTTCTTAGAACTGTCACTTTGCTTTCCCCCTTCCTTTTGGTGCTTAGCTATAAAAATGTGCCCTTCTCAGGACACCAATGTCATACGTCTTAGGTTGTAAGAATGCAAGGGATGTATACTGATCCATGCTTTGCTCTCCCCTCTGGACACACAATAGAACTGAAATCATTTCTCCATCCTCCACTTTTACCAGATTACGACCAGGGAAACAGCAGTTGTGACAGGATCACCCTTATCTTTCACCTTCACTATGCAGATTGCCAGCTTTTTAGTGATTATACATCAAACTCCATATAAAACCTGAGAAACTAGAAAGCTATCCAAATTAGCAATCTGCTCATTCTAGACAATTCTGTTTGACTCATAAGCTTCCCATTATGATTAGCTTTCCAGTTATTGCTAAGCAGCTGATCATTTTTTCTCTTATCTACTGGATCTAGAGGATTCTGTAAAGGGGACTAGGTAACATTCTAAAATTTCAATTCAAAACATGTCAGATATTCCAAAAGTACATAATTCTGATGACTTTACAACCTATAATATCTTTCTAAATAAAATACTATGTATGCTTAGACAAAAGGGCCTGAAATCATTGTATCTCAGACAAATTCAGACATTTTACTGGCCTTAGTTATAATACAAATAATGTCAAAATTTTAATAAATACATTTTGTTTTATGATAAAGACAAAATTTCCAGTTGTGAACTCGTCTAACACTTGACAGTGCTTTGCACTAGAAACATAATATGACAAGCTCAGGATCCTAAATACTTAGAATATGAGCATGGGTATCATCCAAGCTTATGCTGATTAAAGAAGATTCAGCATTTCAAATCCAGCTCATCCCCAAATACAAGTTAAGCATCTCTGAAAAGCAAAACTTTTAGTCAGACTCAGATATTTCAAATGCCATTTTGTTTTGATACAAGCTGTGGCATAAAAGGGGATATTCACTGTCAATAAGGTTTGGAGATAGATAAAGAGAATTATAACTCTTCTCATTTCCAGATGGTTTTGATTAGGATGACAAATGAGGCCTTCTGAAGTGATGGAGGAAAAAAACGGACAGAGAACCATCATTCTGAGGATGGTAAGACAATGAAAAGATTTTTTTTAAAGCATTAGGCAATTTAAATATTTTTAGAAAGTAAGTTATTTTATGAACTGACCTTTTCTGTTCGGCAGTTATTGAGACCCAGACTATTCACAACAGCCACCTTCCCATCAAGCACCTGTTGTTCCCGTCTAAGTTGTTCCTTCATTTGCCGAGCTTCTTGGATTGCCTTGGTGACAGCATCGTGGTCATTTAAGTAACCTGAAAATGAGACAGATCAAAGGACATCTTTTGTATGAATGCATGTCTACGCTAGCCTTTAACCATAAAAATCACTTCTTCTTTTGGTAACAGCTACTGTCCAACCTATAATGATTTCTCCATGGAATTCACCTAACATGAATAAATAAATAATTGACAATGACTAATTCGCAGAGTCAAACATGCCATATATAAACATGTTTCTAATATGTTCAAATATCTGGAATAAAAATATAATATCTGTGTGAAATATGGTTGTTTCCAACTATTTTGAAATAAGTTAAAAATATAATTTTTAAGTAAATGCTTTATTATTCGAATATTACTTTGTAGTGCAAATAAAAAACCCATTTTTAATTTTTTTTTCCTACAAGGAACGTTTGAATGTTAGCATAGAATTTAGGTATTCATAATTATAACCATGATTATTGAGTCTCTCCTAGTAGTAGAAAGACCACTTAAGAGGGTCTGTATAGCACTATTAGGTTTGTTATATACAGAAGAAATAAATCATTATTAACTGACTGAAGAGCATTTTCCTCCTAAATCCATTTATGGTGAAATAAACCACAGGTGGCAGTGGTTTGCTATGGAAGCAAACTTGTAATAGGCTAAATTTCAAGCACAGAATGTAACCAAGCACCTGTAATTGTTTGATAGGAAACTGTGGCTACTCTCAACTATAGCCACACTTACTTCACACTCTTAGTAAGATGGCCAAATGATCAGCTTATGTATGTAACTCCACAGTCCATGGTTAGTAACACACACTACCAAAATATTGCTTTTACAGAATAACAGGTGTAACAACCAAAATTAATTTTTAACTTAATTTTAACACTGGTCATTTATTTATTTGATGCATGTTAGTATGATGAGCTGCATGATTTTAGAATAGAATATTGATGGAAAAAAATGTTTTGCAAACATTTAAAGAAAAGCTAATATCTCATCTTTTTCTCTCCCTATCTTTTAACTAGGGCATAAAATGGCATAAAATGAATCTGTAATATGAAATTGCCCAGAAAAGGGACTTGTTTGTGACACGAGGCTAAATCTAACCAGATCCATTGGTGAGTTGTGACAGATGGAGGGACTGTGAGACAGAAGGCAGGCACTAATCACACATAAAATGACCGGCTTGCCTCAACATGTTCCATGGATTCCAGCAAACTTTACACCCTAATCCATTTTTAGAACAAAAAACATCTGGGCCATAAATCCTCTAATCTGCCAAAACACGCTATTAAATCCCATGATTTGTTGAAAAACACTAAGATTAAAGAAAGGAAATATAAAATGGCTAACTGCCGTGTTAGGAAAGTGTTATTAATACTCTTTGTCTCAATTATGAATGTTCTGGTACTGAAGAGCCTTGTCTAATCATGTCAGATTACACATCCTTGTTGTATTGCTAAAGTCTTCTATCTGATCTGGTGATTGCCAAAAAACACAGAATATTTTCTTGCTGCTTAAACGTTTCTATTCAAGAAACTCATGTCAGATTAGTGCAGTATTCAGTGCTGGCAGGTTTCTAAATGATCCATTTTCCCATATTACTATGCACAGAGTAGACCTGGTCCACTGATCTCCTTGAGGCAGAAGGAAAAGTTCCAGTGTAGGCGATAGAGAGGGGAAGCTTGAGAGTGATTATATATTTTGCCTTTCAGAGCGAAATTCATTGGCGCTTATTCAAAGAATAAAACATCTCTGCTCATTATAAACACAATAATGAATTGAAAACAACTCTAAACCTAGAACAGATCTTTAGGGTTAATATTTACTGTAAAAGAAGATTGCATTTTATTATCCTCAACATCCTAATTTGGTTCTCCTGTGCATCCTTCTTAATGTATAATTCTTGAAGTTGTTCATGAACAATATTACTCTAGATAGAAATACAACTCTCACATGACAATGATGATCTTGGTATATGTTACTTTAGTAATATCTTAAGAGGGTCAGTCTGATTTTTCTATGCTCTAACCCCTGCTTATATACAACCTGGCATCATACATTTTTGTAGTCTATTTAGCTTCTATGTAGTCTAATTAGCTTCTCCAGAACACAAATATATTTGAAATGGCTTGGCACATGGCACTGAATAAAAGCATGAATTCCTTATGCTTTTTAGGGACTGCCAAGATAACATTGTGTAGGAAAGATGATTAATATAGATGCAAGAGGAATGTAAATTATTATGAGGGGGAGTAACTGACAGACCTATGTTCTGTAATGGTTATTTCCAATTTGAGATGTGTGTTTCTGTGCAGGTAGAAATAACTGTTGACTTTAAAATAAACATTTTTGCTTTTAGAGACTCTTGAGTTTTAGTTATAATGCTATTTGAATGTTAACATTTGTATCTGCTATGTTAAATCATAAAGCCATTTATATATGACAACATTCAATCTTAATAGGATTGTTTCCTGGTTCTTTACAGTTTGTTCTCATCATAGTCACTAAATCCTTAAGCCTGCTGACTCCATCTCTCTCAGCAAATGGCCTTGCCTCTGGTTTTGGAAGGAGCAATAAGGCTAAGCTCTCACCTTCCTGACCCTACCCTCACTCTTACCTTCTGATGGCTTCAAATTCATTTCCATTTATGCCATTTTGTTCCTCCTGTTTCAATAAAAATGGTCCCTTTGCTCTCAATCAAGGCAAATTCCTAATCTCATGTTAGAGTTTTGGATTTCTTTTTTTTTTTTTAAATATATACATATATATTATTGCATTTTAGGTTCTGGGGTACACGTAAAGAACATGCGGGATTGTTGCCTAGGTAAAAACATGGCAATATGTTTTTTTCTATACTTCTCTATTGATTATTCTATTTCTCACTGTATCATCTATCTAATCATCTCTACCACCTCAACTTGTAGATAAAGTTCTCCTTTCTCCTAAAGCAAGCAAATAAAGTATCTTCTTTAACTCCATTTTGCCTTCTTTTTCCAACATTGTTTCTCTTTTTAACTTCTAAGTCAAGCTTCTAAAAGTTGCATTATCTCATAATCTCCCTTTCCCTCCTTACTCTCCAATTCTCACCTCAATCTTGTTTCTGTTGCTATTGGTCTTTAGGTGTCAAATAAATCCAAAGGACATTTTCCATTTCTTGACAGGAATGACAGCACTGACCATCCTCTCATTATTGAAACTCATTTTAGCGTTATTCCTTTTTCCTCACTGCCTCCTCTGTGTTTGTATCCCTGGGATCCTTCCTTCTCCTAATCCTTAGATTTTGGTCCAAGATTCTAATCATCAGAAAAAGCATGTAAGTTTTGGAGCTGGGAAAGCTTGAATTGAAATCCTAGCTTTGACACTTACTAGCTATATGAATTGTTTTACTATTCTACATTGCAATTGTCTCATAAATTAAATAGGGGTAACACTCCATAACAGAAATGTCAAGATTAAGTGAGTTAATGTAGTTTTTTAATTATAATAAATGGTAAATGAAAGCTATTCGGTAACTGTCACTTTATAAAGTGGCATAGTAAAATAAGTAGAATTTGGAAATTGGATTCAACTGGATCTGGGATTTCCACTTCTCAGTAAGTGTGATATTTGACAAATTTTAATGCTCAATCTAAGTTTTCATTTCTCTTACCCATAAAAGGAAGGTAAAGTTAATGGAAGAATTAGATGAAAAAACACATGTGAAGGAGCAGATAGCACTTGGTATCTGTGGAGGCAGGAAAAGATGTTAGACTCCTTTCTTTACTCGTTTCTTTACACTTTCATTTTCCCTATATGTTCATCCTTAGCACTCTTGTTAACCTGCGTTGACTATTATGATGAAATCTGTGGGGGCACGTCATTCACTGGCTGGCACAGAGGTTTGATGGAACGGGTGTCAGTCCATAAAGGCCAGAAAGATACATAATGGTTACCTGATAGATACATTTTATTTTGCCTTCATTATAGATTCAAGTAGCAATTGCATCTAAAGTCAGGATCAGATGGGAGGGCATGTGTATAGGAGAGGTTTGGTGAACCTCAATCTTAAGAGGAAAATGAGATGGCAAAGGTCAATATAACTCACAGTTAACATCTCAGATGAGATTTGGAAAATGCAGGTAAGGAATCATTAATGTAAGAAATTTGTGAGATTCTGTAACTTTGTTAAATTCTCTATAATTTGATTTTTTTTTTTTTTTTTTTTTTTAAACAGGGTCGCACTGTCACTCAGGCTGGAGTGCAGTGGCATGATCATAGCTCACTGCAAACTTGAACTTCTGGGCTAAGGAAATCCTTCTGCCTCAGCCTCCTGAGTAGCTGGGGCTATTGGCACGTGCCACTACCTCCCGCTACTTTTTAAATTTTTGTTGAGATGGAGTCTTGCTATGTTGCCCAAGCTGGTTTTGAACTCCTGGATTCACACAATCCTCTCACCTTGGCCTACCAAAGTGCTAGTATAACAGCTGTGAGCCACCGCGCCTGGCCTACTATTTGATATTTTATGCTTCAGTATTTCTTCTTAACCATTACCAAAAATATTCTCAAAGTTTTTGCTTTTCTTAATTAAAAAGGCCCGTTATATATTTTTTTCAGGGGCAGAAAAGAAGGGACAAACTAGAAAGTATAATTTTGGAGGAGATAAATTCTAAAAGGAAAGAATTAGTAATGGCTGCTACATCAAGGAAAGAAAATAAAATACAAAATCACTTGTAATGGGTTGAATCATGTCTGCCTAAAAGAAATATTGGAGTCCTAAACTTCATTATCTGTGACTGTGGCCTCTTTTGAAAACAAGGTCTTTGAAGATGTAATTAAGGATCTCAAGGTGAGATCACCCTGAAATTAGGGTGGGCCCTAAATCCAATAACTGGTTTCCTTATAAGAGGAGAGAGATTTGACTCACAGAGATAGGGGAGAAAGCCAAGTAAATATGGAGGCAGAGATTGGAGTTAAGCATTTATGAGCCAGGGACTGCCAGGGAATGTCATCAGCATGGAGGCATGGGACAGGTTCTCACTCAGAGCCTCCAGAAGGAACCAACC